TCACCTTCCCAGCCCGCCAACCCTGATCGGCCCTGATTGCTGGCCAGGCCGAGGGACCCCATCCGTGCATGAATTCATGCACTGGGCCTCTAGTTAAGAAATAATATATTAGATTACAAAAATGCTTCTGAAGTCCATCCTATCAATAATATGGACAGACGAGTGGGGGCTCCAGGTGGGTGAACTGGATTGTGGTTAGACTTGCACCACTTGTTCATATTTCTCTCCAGCTACCCAAAGATATTAAAAACATTTTATAAATAAAATGGTTGTGGGGGGTGCAAACAAAAAACAACTACACACTTGGGTAGTATAAAATGTGTTTCACTAAAACAACAACAAAAAAGGATTTTACTGCATTGATGTGAGTGGGTACTTTTCTCTTAAGAGAGAGCGTGTGTGTGTGTGTGTGTGTGTGTGTGTGTGTGTGTGTGAGGCGGGCGGGGGGCGGTATTGAGGGGGATGGGAGAGTGGGGCCAGTGTGCACAGAGCCCAGGGTCTTGTGTTTAAGAGCAGGGTCCACCACCACCTCAGTGTGTGACCTTGGACATGTCGTTGGTCTCTTCTGGGCCTCACTTTTCTCATCCACAAAATGGTGCTATGCGTCCTGTGCTGCCCATGGCTTGTTGTGTTGATTCCTGGGAGATCCCCAGGCAGGGACACCTTCTGAGGATGGGAAGAGGTGTGGGAGAGCTCCTCACCGGGTGGGCTTCATGTAGGCGATGCCGTGTGGAGCCCGGAGGCAGAGCCTGGGCCACCGTAGGGGACATGGGGGCACCTAGGTTGGCCTCATAGTTGTCAACAGTGTGGACCTTGTCAGAGGTGACTGAGGGGGTGGCTGCCTTGTCATCAGGGGGACAGGCTGGGTGAGGAGCCTGTGTCCTTCTCCAGGGAGGGCCCTGCTCGGCTCCAGGTGCCTCTGCCCTGTAGGAGTGCGGGCCTGGGGAGGCCAGATCCTCCAGTTTTTCAAGAGAAGCTAGAAAATACAAGTGCCATATGGTTTCCCTTAGATGTGGAATCAGAATAACAATATAAGTGAACAACCAAAACAGAAACAGACTCATAGATACAGAGAACAGACTGTTGGCTCCAGGGGAGGAGGGCTGGGGGACTGGGTGGAAAGGTGGGGGGATTCGGAAGTACAGTTTGGTAGTTACAGAGTAGTCGTGGGCGTGAAAGGCCAGCCCAGGGGAGATAGGCAATAGTATTGTAATAACCATGTATGGTGGCAGGTGGTATGGGGAGTACGGGGGGAGCACTGGGTAAAGCATATTACACTGTACACCCGAAACGAATACAAAATAATATTGGGTGTAAACTGTAATTGCAGAAAAGGGAGGTGCTGGAAATGTAGGCTTTAATGTCAAACTGCCAAGTCATTGAAAAGTTGTCAGAACAGTGTGGGCTCCCCAAATAAGCCTGAAGCCTCCAGTTCGCAATCTCTATGGGAAATCCAGTCATGGGTTCCTCTCCATTTACCCATTCATTCAGCCCTTCCCTCATTCATTCTTTTAAAAATATATACATATATACTTATTGATTTCAGAGAGGAAGAGAGAGGGAGAGAGGGATAGAAACATCAGTGATGAGAGAGAATCACTGATCGATCGGCTGTCTCCTGCATAACCCCCACTGGGGATTGAGCCGGCCACCTGGGCTTGTGCCTGCTGTGGGAATCAAACCGTGACCTCCTGGTTCCTGGGCTGATGCTCAACCACTGAGCCAAATGGGCCAGGCCTGAGGTCCTTTGAGAATATTCAGTCCAAGGCTCCCACTGGGCAGAATGGGAGCCGAGGGCTGGGAGGGGCTGGGTGAGGCGGTCAGGACAGCGTGGCTGGCCACTCCTCGGGTCTCCTGGCTGACCACCGGCCGCTCTGCAGGCCTGTGCCCTGGCTGCTCAGGTGGTTGGAGCAGAACCTGGAGAAAGTGCTGCCTCAGCCTCCAAAAAGCTCCGAGGTAAGTGGAGGAAAAGGGGCGGCAGGAAGCTGACCACCTGGGCGGGCTTCTGGGGTCTCAGGGCGTCTGTCCCCACCCAGTCCCTGGAGGGTTCCTGACGGGAGGACTGATGGAGGAGGGGCTGGATTCAGGGGAAGGGTGGGCGGGCACACAGCTGACCAGGGGAGGGGTGCGTGGGGCCAGCCTTGCTCCGTGACCTCTCTCCCTGCTTATGATCCAGGGCTGCAGAGACGAACCTGCAGATGCTGCCTTGGGCCCAGGTACAGCAGGGGACCTGCGAAGGGGCTGTCTGAGATGGTCACAGGCTGGGTGGGGTAGCACTGGGGCCTAGGGATCCTGGCTGGGGGGTGGTGGTCAGGGCTTGCTGGCCTATTGTGGGGGCACTAGGACCCCCTCCCCAGGCCAGGCTGGGAAGCCAGTGGCCTGGGACAGCCTAGTGAGGTCTTGGACAAGTCCTTCTGCTCCCTGGGCCTCAGTCCCACGTCTGTCTGCTGATGGGGATGGTTGGGGATCCCAAGGGGCTCCCCATTCGGTCATGGTTACCCCTCAGTCTGGTCCCCTGTGCTCTTAAGGGGTCCCATGTCATTTGAATCTCCTCCTTTCCCTGCTGCTTAGAGCCCCCAGGGTGCCCCTTGGAAATGGAGCCTGTGCTGCAGGCCCTGGAGAGTCCTCCCCTGCCCACTCCTGGCTCCCTGGAGCCTGAGGAAGAGCCTGAGGAGGAGCCCCAGGAGGAGCCCCAGGAGGAGCCCCAGGAGGAGCCCACTCCAGAGCCCCAGCCCGGCTTTCAGGCTTCCTCCCTGCCACCCCCCGGGGACACTGCCAGGTGAGCCCCCCTAAATGCCACAGCTCCCGTGGGGAGCAGCCCAACACCCAACCTTCACCAAACTCTTTTTAAAATTATAAAAGTGACAGATGCCCCTGGGAGAAAACTCAGAGGGGTTTCCAGGGCCCCTGCCCAGGGCCACCCCAGCAGCAGCTTCTCAGCCTGGGCCAAAGGATACATGCATTTAAAATCGGGTTAGGGCCTGGCCGGCGTGGCTCAGTGGTTGAACATTGACCTATGAACCAGGAGGTCACGGTTGGATTCCCAGTCACGGCACATGCCCAGGTTGTGGGCTCGATCCCCAGTCGGGGGCGTGCAGGAGGCAGCCAATCCATGGTTCTCTCTCATCATTGATGTTTCTATCTCTGCCTCTCCCTTCCTCTTTGAAATCAATACAAATATATACAAAAAATAAAATAAAATCAAGGCTAGGTACTGACCAGTTCCCTGCCTGGCAATGGGCGAGGGGCCTAGGGGCACCTGCAAGGGGTTGGGGTGGGGGTGGGGGAGCCTGAGCTACCTTTTGGCGCCTGAGCAGTAGCTTGAGACTTGCCTAAGGAGGAGTGGGGGAGGGGGACCATGGTCTTTGGGGCTGGAGGCCTGGGTTCCGGTCTGCCTTCTGGGGGGTTTGCTGTCTGCCTTGGATGTCACTTTCCCCCCTGGACATGGCCACTCTCTCCCACCCACAGGTTGGTGGCGTGGCTCCTGCATAGACTGCAGACGGCTCTGCCGCAGCCCGTGCTCCGTGGGAAGGCTGGGGAGCAGGTGGGTGCTGGGCTAGGGGAGGGAGGGCCGGATGGGGGCAGGAGTGGGATGGTTGGTCTGACTCAGGGGGGCCATGATACAGAAGGAAGAAGGGCGCCGGCCACGGGAGCCCAGCCCGCCCAGCCCGCCTGTCTGCTCTGCCCCGCCATTCTGCACTCTCTCAGGCACCGTGTCTGCGGGGCTGAGGGGGCCAGCTCAGCCCTGCCTGCGAGAGGTCACAGCTGGTGGGGGAGGTGCTATCATGGTGGAGCAGAGAGGATTGTGGGGTGCAGAGGAGGAGCCTCCCGGGAGCATGATGGAATGATGGAGGGCTTCCCAGTGGAGGTGGCCTGCGAGCTGAGCCCTGAGGTGTAGTAGGACGTGAGTGGGTGACAGTGAGTGAGGGTGATTGGAAAGGGCCCTCAGGCAGAGGACCAGCATGTGCAGAGGCCAGAGGTAAGAGAGGACTGACACTTTCTGGGAGAATGGGTTGTAGGAAGCCCGAGGCTCTGTGTGCCTCCTGACAGCCTAGGACTCCAGCGTGGGTGAGTTTGGGGAGCAGGGCCCCGGTCGCCTCTTCCCCTCCAAGAACCTGGCCCCTGGCCCTTCTCTCTTGGGAACAGCTGGACACCTTCATAGAAGCACCTGGAACTGGGGGTGGGCGGCCTGCCTCCCGTCCTGCTGCAGTAGGGGGTGGAGAGCAGCTGGAGCAGAACTGACCTCGGAGGCAGGGAAGCGTGGGGCCTGGAGCAAGGGGATCTTCTGCGTGTCCTGGGGGTGGTGGCGGGGGGGCAGGAGGGGGAGGGAGTGTCCTGGACGGGAGAGGAAGGTCTCTTGCCCCTGCGTGTGCGGGAGGGACCGTGGAACTGGGGAAGCTGGTGGGGAGGCCACATGGTTTCCCCCTTTCTCCCCGTGCAGGAGCCTGACGCCCCTGGGACGTGTGACGTGCAGACCAGTAAGTGACATCACTTAGCGCCGATCCGGTTGTTAATGGTCCCGCTGACCACGGTGCCCCCCCACAGGTGCTCCCGTGCATCTCGGGGAGGGTTGCTTGGCCTGAGCACTCATGGGCATGGGCTGTCCACTGCCAGGCCTACACTCGCTCGGGGGCACAGTCAGGATTCCTGAGGGAGCCTGTGCTCCGAGGCCCCGCCTCAGGTCAGCCTGGCCAGGGAGCCAGAGCCGGGCCCAGAGCAGATGGTGGCTGGAGGCCCTGCAGGAGGCTGGGGAGGGGGGGAGGAGATGAACTTGGCCTATCTTGAGCTTCCATGCAGAGGAGCTCATCCTGCTGGGACACCAGAGAGAGCTCCCCACTGCCCCTGGCAGCTGGGTTGGCGGGTTTGGCCGAGCAGAGTTCCTGGTTGAGAGGTGAGGGGAGACGGACAGGGAACTGGACCTCATAGACTTCAGCTGCCTTGAGCTGGGAGGGTATCCCCTTACCTGTGACCAGGTTGGGCAGGTGAGTGTGTTGCCTTTTGTCTCAGACCTGCATTGGGACTCGGGGAGAGGCTGAGGCAGGAGGGGTGGGCTAGGGCCCAAAATCTGCTCGTCTTTCATTTTGTGGCCTCAGGAAAGGCCTGTGGAGGACAGGACATCCATCCATCCATCCTCCCATCCATCCTTCCTCCCATCCATCCACCCATCCACCCATCTATCCATCCATCCATCCATCCATCCATCCTCCCATCCTCCCATCCATCCACCCATCCACCCATCTATCCATCCATCCATCCATCCATCCATCCTCCCATCCATTCACCCATCCACCAATTTTTTGCTGCCCAGTCTTGCTGGCCATCCCATGCCAGCATTCTCTACTTAGCTCTACTTCGCTGCCAGATGCAGGTTTCATTTCTGCCAACAAACTTTGCAGTGCTGTAGCCCAGCTGATCCATCCCTCCATCCATCCATCCAGCCATCCTCCCATCCATCCATCCATCCATCCATCCATCCATCCATCCTCCCATCCATCCATCCATCCATCCGTTCATTCATCTGCTCATTCACTTGCTCACACATGTAAAGGAGGGCCTGCTATGTGCCAGGCCTGTGATGAATGCTAGAGGTGGGCAAAGCGGAGCTCAGGCCTTGAGGGCGGTGGCCCTATTCCACCTGGATCCAGGCACTGGGACTGCAGGGCTCAGGGCCTCCCAGGGCTGCTCTCACAGTGTCTGTGAGGCTGAATCCCATCCTAGTCCCACTAGGCCAGTGGTGGTCTTTATGAGAACTTCGAGACCGGGACGGCCGCGGTGGCCTGGGGCACAGACAGGCCAACTGACTGTGGAGCTCGGGTCTGACAGCAGCTGTAGGGGGCGAGGGGGTCTGTGTGATTGTGTTGACATTGGCAGGGGAAGGCCTCAGAGCAGGACTCCCCAGTCTTGTGGAGCTCATGGCCGCCCTGGAGGACACAGAGCGGGGAACCCCATCCTGTCGGGGCAGGTAGTGCTGTGCCCAAGGTCACCGGACAAGTTCTTGTGGACTTTCGGAGACAAGAGACCACGTGGCCTGGCAGCAGCTTCTCAGTCCGGCTGAGGTTACCACACGGAAAACGTGCCCTGGGACAGAGACCCCTCCCTGGGGTGGCTGAGAGCTTTGAGGGTGGGGCCCCTGGCTCCTCTTCCCCCTAAATATGTTTTTATTGACAGAGAGAGGAAAGGGAGAGGGAGAGATAGAAACATTAGTGATGAGAGAGAAACATCATTGATCAGCTGCTTCCTGCACACCCCACAGTGGGGATTGAGCCTGCAACCTGGTCATGTGTCCTGACTGGGAATCGAACCGTGACCTCTTGGTTCATAGGTCAGTGCTCAACCACTGAGCCACACCGGCTGGGCCCCCTGGCTCCTCTTAACCTTCTCTCTGCTTCTCTGGAGGGAGGCAGAATTCTCAGCCAGCCCACACAGGGCCTCCCTGTGTGCCGGAGCGTGGGGGTCAGGGGTCAGCAGAGGGCCCTGGGGCCGCCATGGGGCAACTCAACACCCCTACCAGGGACCTGGTGTTAGTTTCCGGGGGCTGCAGACCGGGTGCCTTCCAGCAGCAGAATCGTACCCTCCCCCAGTTCATGCGGCCAGAAGTCCAAGGTCAAAGTGCTGGCAGGGTTGGCTCCTCCTGGGGCTCTGAGGGACACACCGTCCATGCCTCTCTCCCCGCTTCTGGTGGCTGCGGGCACTCGGTGCCCCGGGCTTGCAGCTGCCTCCCCGGCTCTGCCTCTTCCTCTGTCTGCTCACCCTGTGTTCTCCTATAAGGGTACAAGGTCACATTCACAGGGGACAGGAGTTAGGGCTTGAGTTATGTTTTGGGGGTCCTGAGGGGCTGTGTCCCCCTTCTCACCACTCTGCCCCAGCCTCCCCAGCCTTCACCCACTCAGGCACTCACTCATTCAGCCCCTCCGCCTGGCCACCTGGCCACCCACCCTCTATCTTCTCCTCTGTTTCAGGGGTGGCAGCAGCGGGAGGCCTCTGAAACAGGGGAGAAGGGAGCCTGGGAGAGCACAGATGGACAAACGGACGGATGGATGGAAGGAAAGAAGGGTGTCCTGAAGAGAAGATCTGCAGGGACAGGGATTGAGTGGCCATTGATCCCCCAATCCTCCTTGAACAGTGACCCCTGGCAGGACGAGGGGGGATCAGAGTCCCTTCCACTGTCCCAGAGCTGCCTTTCGGGGACACCAGAGCAGGGGAGGGTCAGGGGGCACAGCCTGTGGCATTGAGGCCGGACAGCAGGACTCCCACTGGAAGGCTGGGGAGGCCCACAGAAGACTGTCTCAGCACCGAGCCTGTCACGGAGTTGGTGTCCCCATGGGACACAGGTTTTCCCAGGAGCCATTCTTCTTAGGCTTGGCCTCAGGGTGGGGACCGCCAGTGGAAGCAGCAGATGCTCTCATTGACATTAAAGAGCATAAGCAGCCCAGCTGGCGTGGCCCAGTGGTTAAGCATCGACCTATGGACCAGGAGGTCACGGTTCAATTCCTGGTCAGGGCACATGCCCAGGTTGTGGGCTTGATCCCCAGTGTGGGGCATGCAGGAGGCAGCTGATCAGTGATTCTCTGTCATCATTGATGTTTCTCTCTCCTTCTCTCTCTCTCCCTTCCTCTCTGAAATCAATAAAAACCATATGTAAGTCTCCATTAGTCATGCGTGCTTGGCGTGAGGGCCACCTAGACCCCTCGAGCTTTTTGGAAACACCTGGTATCCCGGCAACCTCCCCCTTTCCTCCTTTCCCTGCCTGGGGGTACGCTTAGGTTCCTGATGAATCTCCCCTGCACCCACGTCCTCCAAGCTCTCAGCCCCACAGAGTTTTCACTGTCAGGGGCCAGGGTACATGGAGAAATGCGAAAACCGCAGATTCTCTCTGAAGGTGGGACCAACTCCATGAGAAAGTTGGGGGGGTGGAGCCTCTCGGTCCAGGAAGGAGAAGACACCGCCCAGAGGCAGGTGCTGAGATGACAGGCGTGTGGTGTGCCATCACCAAGGGGCGGCATCAAGAGAGCAGGCAGCGGGCAAGCGCGCTCTGCATCGTGGGGAGATTCAGGCTCCCTGCACCGGGTGTGCAGGTGGACGTCGGGCCTCGGTCTTTTGGCATCACCTGCCACACTGCGGTGAGAAGCATTGTTTCTGCTTCTGCACAGACGCCAAGAAGGAGGGACAAAGACTAGCTGTCACGGAAGCTCGGTCTCAGGAAAACGAATGGCAGGAGACAGGGTGACGGGTCGCGGGCTGCAGCCCATCACTCAGCGCCGATCAGGTTGTTAACGGTCCCGCTGACCACGGTGCCGTGTCCACTGCTGGGCTGAGGGCTGGCGCATGGCTGGCGCTGGCCGGGGCTCCCTGGATGGTCCCTGGGACTGAGCCCCAAGCCCACTCTCCCCCACACCCTGTGTCCCCTGCAGTCAGCATCCTCCCTGGAGGCCAAGAGGAGCCCGGCGAGCTCATCCTAGAAGAGGTCGACCCTCCCTGGGAGGAGGACCAGGCTCAGGATGGCAGCGCCAGCCCGCAGGGAGCAGCAGCGGTGGCGTCAGCTTACGCGGAGGAGAATGAGGCCGGGGAAGAAATGTCCAGGTGGGAGCCAGGGGAGGCCCTGAGGAATGACTGGGAGGATAACAGGCACTTAGCACAGAACCTCGAGGACTTGAAAGGGCACAGAGGGCGGGCCAAGCCTGCCTCTCCCTCCCTCCTCCCCCCTGACACCCATCCCTTTCCCAGGTTCCTCTGTGCCATTCCAGGGACCATCTGAGCACATGCAAGCTTGGACCCCCCCTCCTTTTATTTTGATTTTTGTTCATAAAGCATAGCATGCACTTACCGAGCTGCACTTTGCTATATTCATTTACCCATCTATCTTGAGATCTTCCCACCTTCAGCACATAGAGATTGCTCACAATTTTTATTTTTAAATAAATGCATCGTATTCCGTCATACGGATGTGCCAGCATTGATTTCACCTGTCTACTATTGATGGACATTTAGGTTGATTCCAAAAATTTGTTGTAAGTAATTCTGCAACAAGCACCCTTGTGCATGCCTGTGAGTGCATCCGCAGGTCTCATGTCCTCAGCCCCGCGCCCCGCATTGCACAGAGGGGGAAACTGAGGCCCAGAGAGGATCAGGGGCTGAGACAGGCCCCTCGTGCCATGTTGTTAGCGAGAGCCTGGGGCTCCTCGGGTGGGGGTTCCCGGGTTGATTCTTGGTTGAGGGGTTCAGGTCTGATCTCAAGGGGTCACAGGACATCTTACTGAAAATTGGGGCAGGAGGTGGACTCGGGGTGCCTCTTCAGGGGGGCTCACCTCTTGCCTCTGGTCTCATTTCAGGGAGTTTTCCTGGATTCAAGAGGACAAAGAAGATGAGGAGGATGGGGAGGAAGAGGAAGATGAGGAGGAGGAGGAGGAGCCTGAGTAAGGCGCTATGCCCTTGGCTAAGGAGTGGCCCAGGGAGGTGGGGCTACTAGGTGATAATCCTTCAGAGGCAGTGGGCCATATTGTAAAGGCCTTGAACTGAACTTCCTGGGAGCAATGGGGAGCCATTGCAGGTTTGTGAGCAGGGGAGGGGCATGATCTGGCAGCAGCGTTGTGGAGAGATTGAGGCAGGAGGAGCCTGTATTCCCATCAGGCCAGACTGATTGAATGGGTCCCTTGGCTCCACCCCCGGCACTATTCCCGGTCACTCTGCCCTCCGTGGTACCCCCTGGCCCACATCCTTCCTCCCTGACCTGCCCCTCTGGCCGTAGCCTGGGGCAGGGTAGCCCCATGAGTGTTAGGGGCACAGGCTCTGCTGCTCTTAGGGGCAAGGACATCCCTGCACAGAGCTGCTCCCCACACCCATCAGGTGGGGGAGAACAGCAGCGCCCTGCAGGGTGGTCACGGCCCAGCTGTGAGAATGGGGGCGGTAGGATGTTCGAATCCCCACCGAGGGTCATTTTTAGTCCCTGCCAGGGAAGAGTTAAACCCTGAGGCCAGCATAGGAGCCTGCTCAGGGTCATCTACGTTTCGTCTACCCTTGCCCGGGTCACATGTAATCTTTTCATCCTCGGCCAGAGGCCACACAGCTGTTTGCTTTCCTCCAGTGATGGGGAGCTCACCACCTTGCAGAGGCTGTGCATTCATTCCGTCCCTATGCACCCCTGGCTTATGAAGTGATTTCTTGCACCAAAACTAAGCGTGCTTCCTTATGATTTCTGTCACCTGGTCCTAATTCTGCCCTCTGGGCCCCCGAACCAGGCTGCTGTCACGGACAGGTGACCGCTCTTGCCCTGGGTGAGGACCTTTGAGGCTGCCAGCTCCCTTATCTCAGCCTCGTTTGCATTCTGCCTTCCACCTGCCTCTGTGCGGAGCACATAGTGGGGGAGTTGTTTCCCCATTACACCTGCGCGCCCGACACTCAGGCCTGAAAACCCCTTTCTGTGCCATGGCTCCCGAGGGAAACAGCCCTTGAGGCCAGTGATCCAATGTGCTCACACAAATCTACATGCGCTAACTACAGGTATTGTCATGCACACAGGTACATACACGTGTCTGCACTGTCACATACGCCAGCACACAGGCACAAACACACAAGTCTACATACATACACAGCACACACATCACACTCACACATGCTCACAGGCACACATGTACACACTTGCAGATACCCACACGGCACCCTGCACGCATGCTCATGCACACAGCACATGACTACAGTTACCCACAAACGCTGCAGCCGCATACACGCGCCTACACAAATGTTTACCCAGAGTTTCAAACTCTGGGAAGTTTCGGGCCCGGGCCTCAGGCAGGGATGGGGGCTCTGTGGTGAGAGAGCGAGCGATCCCAGAGCCAGGGCCAGAGGGGTCTGTGTGGGCAAGCCGCTGGGCTGTCCCTGGTGGGGGAAGGATGCTCTCCGCCAGCTTTGTGGAGGCACAGGGGTGACTGATGACGCTGGCAGATGGTCGCCTAGCGACCAGGTCTCTGCCGGCAACAGCTCATCTCTTCCTAGCAACCACAGCCTTTTGGTCCCCACCTGGCCTCCCTGGGGGCGCTTCTGCAGAGTCGCCCGCACAATCTGATTAGAAGCAGGAAGAATTGGTGGCTCATCCGCCACCCGGGTCGCACTGGCTCCAGAGCCAGCCTGGCAGGCGCAGGCTTGGGCTGGTGGGCTGGTACACTGTCCAATTCTCCACTTGTTCGTGCTGCCTGGAGCCCTGGGATGAATGGCACTGCCCCCCGCTGAGCTCCTGCACCATGGCTGTCCTGGTCGCCAAAGCCAGTGAGACCCAAGTAGGTGCCTGCATCTCCTAAGGGCTCCCCCTTCCTTCTTTTGGGGTTGGGGTGCTGTGAAGAGTCTGCAGAAGGCGACTGTGAGGACCTTAATTTGGGGGCACAGCCTGCTGGGTGATTTGGGGGAGGAAGGGGCTGGCAAGCTGGCTGCCTTGGCTCCTCCCTGCCCCTTTAACCCTTT